TTTAAATCAGGGAAAGGGGAATTTTGCTTGAGATTCCTATCTTGCAATTTCTCAGGCCGGTGAAATATATAGCTCTGATTTTACATAACTCCTTATATAAAAAGTTAAACTCCTTATTAAAATACATAAACTTTAAAAAAAGATGTTCTGTAGAACCAAATTTAAATTAAAGAGGTTGAATATATTCAAATTGTAAAACTTACTGAGTACTTCTTACATTGTGTGTGGAAAAGAAGGAATGGTTAAGACATGCCAATCACAATATAAATAATGTATAGAAGTATAATCACGTCATTTCTAGATGATCGATCACGAAGCTGCCGGTCAGGTATTTTGCCGTTTGGCTTTCTGATCTGATCCAGCCCCTAGAACACATTAGGCACACGATAAATATTTGCCAAAGGCATGAGTGATTTAATGGAGCTGTGATTACATAACAGTTGTGGTAATTACTATGCTGTCTAGTTTAAATACTTACTGATATGATCTATGATCTAAATGTATTCCTACGAAACAGTGTTTGTAACCTTCTTAGAACCACTTGATGAAAACCGAACTGTACAGACTCCCCGAGAATGCCTGGGGAGCACCCTTACTCTCTGGCCCTCAGCATACATGGTGTCGAAGAGGTAGATCCTGCCTTCTGCTTACCTCCAACAGAATGTTTTGTACTACTGGGTTTATCATGAACATTTCGGTACTTATTCCTCAACATGCAAAGGTATATGGCAATACCTCCTGATTTTAACCACACGCACCATCCCTGGAGGGCCTCTGGATCCATGGAGCAAAGCTAGCCCATTCTCCCAACTTGTGAGAGCTGTTGCAGGAGCCCACGTGTGATGAAATGCTTCTCTGCACCAACGTGGTTGCCCTGGGGACAGACTGCTTGGGCCGTGTGCAGTGTCCTCGTTGGCATGGAATGCAGTGTGGTTAGTTCTCAAGCACAAGGACTGAGGACACCATTCTCCGACCACCCCTTCTCCCAGATGATAGTCAGTCATTTGTCCAGATGAACACTCCTCTCTCCTATTTCTCTAACGCATGTCCCTACTTCCTTCCACTCCTCCCAGGAATGTGAGTGTATTCCTGCAATAAGAACCCAGCCACTGGGGCGAGATAACAAGGAGCTCACACGTGGGTCCAGGCTGGACTGCGGCACAAGGTCAGGGCTAGGGCGACACTCCGCGAGGGTCAGGGCTAGGGCAACACTCCACGAGGGTCAGGGCTAAGGCGACACTCCATGAGGGTCAGGGCTAGGGCGACACTCCACAAGGGTCAGGGCTAGGGCGACACTCCATGAGGGTTAGGATTAGGGTTAGGGTCAGGGCTAGGGCAACACTCCATGAGGGTTAGGATTAGGGTTAGGGTCAGGGTTAGGGCGACACTCTGTGAGGGTTAGGGCTAGGGCAACACTCCGTGAGGTTTAGGGCTAGGGTGAGGGTGACACGCTGTGAGGGTTAGGGTTAGGATGACACTCCGTGAGGGTCAGGGCTAGGGTTAGGGTTAGGGTTAGGGTGACACTCCGTGAGGCCCAGTCACATGGGGAGACCTGGATTCGCCCGCCCCTCCTTTCTGTCTCTGTCATTCATGGAAGAAAGAAACGGTAAAGAGTGAAAAATAAAATAAATTACGTAGAAGTGGGATCTGCGTGTTTCTGTGACCAGCAGCCCTGGCTGCGGACCGCAGTCGCCCCTCTGCAGGAGAGGGCAACCGGCAGGATGCGCTGGGTAGCCAGTCTTCCATGAGGCCTTCCACAAAGCGCCAGGAGTGGGAGTCGCATGGCAAGGTTTCCAATCCACTCCACACAGTTTCAGAAATAAGAAATCTTTTTTTAGTCATTTGCACTAGGAAGCTATATTTACAGTTAAGAAAACAAAAATCTCTCTGTAGATAGTCTTTGGCCCTCAGCTAAGGACAGTATGTTGTGCTTTTTGTTCAATTTTGAAGCTTGGACTATTTGGCCAAGACCTGGAAACAGCTAGAAGATAAAAGAAGCTGTCAATGAGCAAGACAGTAATAATGTCACTTAATGTAGCATGATTATATTTGTAATATAAAAAATAAAATTATGCAACTTTTGTTCAAAAACAGGGTAGTTTAATGATCATCATAGACTCTTAGACATAAAAATGGAGGCCTCGCCTGGGAGCTCTGAGCAGCAAACAGCAGCCGCACTGGAAGCCACAGGGCTGACTTCAGGGCGGCTGGCAAAGGGCAGATGGGGATGTCCAAGACCCTGCTGAGCTGAAGGGCCGGGGAAAGGAGTCACTGCTCGGAGGAAGTGCCCTCCCTACTCCGTCTTTCTCTATCCTGCACACATACATGCTATCATAAGACAAGCAGACTTTAAATAAATGAATAAATAAATGTAGGTAGAAGAGAGCCAAGAGGGTGTTTAGTTTTAGCTTCAAAGAGGGAAAGAAAAAAACGCAAACCTCAACCTAGTTCTGTTGGAGTGAATTCAGTTAAGAGCAGACGCTGGATTCTCATGGCTGCTCCTGCCCTTTCACATTCTGTGCTAGTGGTCACTGAATTCTTAAAATCTGTCTCAAAGTAGATTCTCCTCTTTAATTTGACTCGTTCCTAATATCTCAGGACCCTGATGGGCCTGGACGCAGCCGTGGAGAAGGCCCTGCCAAGAAACGGCTTGTCTGTGGAAGGTTCTGCACCAGCTCAGGGACAGGGTGCTCAGCAGGGCCTCAGTCACTGTAACCCAGGCATAATCCACCCATCACAGACTTCTCCCTCCTCCAAAGACCCCAACCCTCAGCACGTTTGAAGACAAGGCAGTTGGTCCCACGCCCTGTGGGTCAGCCCAGGCTGCGCCGATGCAGATGCTCTGGGTCCCTGTGGGACGTCTCACCTCTGGCCACACCCTGGACCTGGACTCTCGCTGCCCTCTCCTCGGTGTGGTGTGCCTGCTCCAGGCTGCCGTCAGCAGATGGCTGCACCTGAGAAAGGTCCCACCTGCCTGCCTTTGCCGCCAGTTTCTCCACCAACACACGCAGGAGATTGGAGGAACAGAAGCAAGAGAGAAGGGCCAGACCAAGGACCTGGTTCGACACCCACGTCTGGAAGAAGAGCACCGCAAAGGACACCCTTGGCACACCCGCATCTCGCCTGACCAGGGCGCCCGCTCTCCGGCCGCAGGGAGGCCCCACCCTCCCACCGGTCCCCACATGGTCTGGCCTCACCTCTCTCCTCTGTAGCCTTAGGGTAGTTCGAGGGTGTATTTCTCCAAATCCGAGCTACGCGATGGAGAACAGCGGGATCTTAGAAGAGCAGTACAGACGGGTCTGTGACCCTCAAAACCCAAACCTCTCGTCTGGCTCAGAGTGAGATGTTCAAAATGACCACACTTTCTTCCGGACTCTCTAATGGTGACCCTGACGATCGCGCCCCCCCACCCCTTCTCTCAGGGACAGTAGACTCTAAGCCCACTTCATAAAAGGAAAGAATGTTCCTAAAAGCTCCGTAATGGCACAGTGTCTCCAGGACAGCACAGAAGTGGCACTTTTTTCTAGAGCACCTGGAGTCTAAGGAATTAGCCCAGTTCCAGGGCCTGTGCCTCATTACTATCCCAAGGCCCAGGATTTTTAAAACTTCGAGATCAAGAGTTGGGATTTGGTCATCTGCGAACATCAGGAGAGGCCTTCTCTGGTATACAGAGAGCTACAGAAAGGCAGGGCTTACGGGTGGGCGCTCTGAGAACCGCGTGGCTGCCTCACTTGCGGGGCCAAGCCCCACCTCTGGTCTTGGGTAAGGCTATTCATGTTAGTGAAGAAAACTTATCCTGGGCCCTGCAACCACCACCGGCCCCTCTCCACACCAGGAATGTCCTTGCTTGGACAAATCCATGTAGCTCCCAAGAAAGAGTGAGCGAGGCGCCTCATCTTGTCCCTCTTGGGTCTAATGTACAGACCGATCAGCGACAGAGACCTGGCTGATGCCAAGCGACAGCAGCGAGGCGGTTCAGGGATGCAAAGCCGTGTGGCCCTCCAGAGGCGGGTGGGTGAACGGGCCATTTCTAAAAGTGGAGAGAAGACGCTGTCAGGGAAAAGGTCCTCATTTCCTTACTGCAGGTGAAAAGGTGCCGAGTACGAACTAGCCGTCAGCGACACGCACAGCCGTCCGCGGGCACTCCCTCAGTGTCTGACCCAGCGCACGTTCGACACCCTTAGCCCTTAGACTGTAGGTCAAGGGGTTCATGGGGACCACGTTGGTGTAAAAGACCGAGGCAAACTTGCTCTGGCCCTTAGATCCAAGGAGAGAGGTTGTCAAATAGGAGAATGCCCCGACCCAAAAGACACAGCAACTGCGGTCCCGGGGGCCCCCCGGGGCCAGAGGCTTTGGACCTGCCTCAGCTGAAGGGATGCAGAGGACACCAGAGAGAACCAGTACGTAAGGGCTGGAGATGGGGACAGAACACAGGTGACGGCAGGCGCAGGTGTGGGTGCAGGAAGACGCTCTGTGCTCCCAAGCCCACACGCGTGCACACACACATGCACACAACTCTACATGCTTGCGTACACACAACCCCCACATGCTTGCACACACACAACCCCACACAATCACACACACGCACACACAACCGCACATGCACGCACACACATGTACGCACAACCCCATGTGCACACACATGCACGCACACACATAACCCTACATGCTCACGAACACATGCACACACACAACCCCACGTGCACACGCGCACACACACAACCCCACGTGCATACACGCACGCACGCACACAACCCCACATGCACACACATGCACACACAGCCACACATGCACACGCGCACACACACACAACCCCACGTGCATACACGCACGCACACACACAACCCCATGTGCACACGCACGCACACACACAACCCCACATGCACACGCACACTGAGCTGTGGACAGTGCGTCTGTGACAGGCTGGGCCCCTGGGCTGACCACAGTCCAGAGAGCTGCTGGCGGAGGCGCACTTCAACTGCTGCCCCAGGACACCGGAAAGACACCCTGAGAGCAGGAACAGTCTGAGCCCGCTGCCTCCCACACAGTCCTGGCCTGGGGAGAAAGCCTGGTGTCCCCTCCTGCGTTGCACAGGCTGCATCCTCTCTGAGCCCCTCATGCCATGAGCTGGGAAGAAACTGATTCTCCCCAGAGCCCTGGTTGTGAGTTTAAAACCACCAGGAGAGACACCCAGAGCCTCCCGCAGAGTACTGCGCCTCCCGCAGTCTTGGTCTCCGAGGCATCGAGACTGAGCGCACAGAGCTGGGCCCGCAGCAGCCTTCTAGATGGCTCTTGCGGACCAGACACTGCTCCAAGCTGCTCTCAGAAGAGGGGGCAGACTGTCTGCGTGTTGTCCCAGAAGGCCTCCTTCAATTTCGGGAGAACTCAGTGACTTCATTGTCACTAGTACCCTGCTGACACATCCCTGGGAACTTTAAGCTGCTTGACCACCTCAGGGACCTGGCGGAGTTTCCTGAGGAACTCTCCAAGGTCAGCAGGAGGAGGGCGTGTCGTCTTTGTTACAGCCTGGACTGGAAGCTGGCCTGGCCCGGGCAGGTACTGACTCCAACTCGTCCTTCACTGTGGGTTTCATGTCCTCCGTGCTGAGGTTGGGGGCTCGCTTTTTGTCTCGTCTTAACACTTGGAGCCTAAACTCGACTTTAGGGGAAAATGGCTTCAAACACATCTTAGCCACCACTTCCAAATTTCATGGGGAGCTTGAGAACCGGGCCAGGAAGTCAGGTCAGGGTTGCAGGTGCTGCAGAGAACTCCGCCTTCAGAGCCTGCGAGGACCCAGCTGTTCAGAGCAGCCGGGCCCCCAGTGCCACTGCTCTCAGCTCTGTGGAGGACACAGGCAGCACCGCTGACAGGGTGAGAGGACCACAGCACGCGTGTAAGGACGCACACATGCCCCGTGTGGAAAGACGCCTCGAAGTGCATGGCTTAAGGTGCACTGGGAAACGTGTTTGAGGTGTGGCCCCGCTGCTCTCCACGCTGGGTGAGCCTTCTAGAAAATCACCACGTGATTTTCACTGGAGCTGCCTAAAATTACCCGTGTACCTGGGACAGTCCTGACTTGCATTGCTGTCATCCCAAGGTAGTTACTAAATAGCACACCGGACACTCCCACACCGCCGACCACGGCTCCAGTCCCAGATCTGCTGGCTTGCTGTCTCGCTTTCTCTTTCTCTCTCTCTCTCTCTCTGGTCAAATAAAAATAAATGAATAAATAAATAAAATTAAATAAAAAATTATTTTAAAAAAATGACTGTATTTGAAACAAATTTGTGGCTACTCTCCCAAAAAGAGCAAAATCCTAGCCAGGTCCTCTGAACCCTGTGGTCTCCCGGAACCCATATCCGTCCCCTTTCTGGCAGGGCCTCCACCCTTCACCCTCCTGGCCCTCAAAGCTTCCCTTGTTGCACCTGCCCTTCCTGAACACTTTCTCCGGTAGACCTCAGCTTCTAGCATGGGAAGGGTGGTAGCTGCAAGGTGCTTCTGCTCGTACCTGGCCCAAACCCTAAAGCAAAGGGGCACTAACCTTGCTGTCTGCGAGAGGCACCGTACACTGGCACAGAATAAACACCAGCGGGTACATCACTGAACATTTCCTATGTGGTGCAAGGGACGGGTGGCAGGGTTTAACAAACTTGGACATATTCATTTTGAACCAGCTGCACATCCAATAAAAATAAGTATGCTCGCTTACATGCAGACATGCCAGAAACACTCGGGTGGGTTCACATAACAGCCGAAACCCAAAGCAACTCACATGTCAAAAGTAGACCAGAGAATAGATCGTCAGCTATTAGCAAATAGAATTCCACAAACCTTGAAAGTAAGGGCACAGATAAATGTCTCAAACCAATTATGAAGCCAAGCATAAAAGAGAGTGTACTTTACAATCCCGTTGACATAGACTTTAGAAACAAGGAAACTAACCTGTGGTCTTAGAAGTCAACTAGCCTCTTCTTTTAGTTAGGCAGACAGGGCGAGAGACACAGAGACCTACAGGGTGTTCAGGGCTGTGGAATCTCAGTAAACTATACCCTGATGGTACACATAAATTAAACGTTTATTTAAAACTGGTACCAGCAGTTAGTGTAATGGCTATGTCGCTGGAATTCCCATGTAGCTGACCGCGGTTCGAGTCCCAGACCTGGTGGTTAAACTCATGCCGGGCGTGCGTGCGTGCCCAAGATCCCGAGAGGAGAATGGAGGAGAGGAGATTGTGGCATGACTATCCCCCCTGGGGGGTGATTTCTCACCTTCTGTCTCTCTGTCTCTCTCTGTCTTTCTGGTGAGCACACACGCCCTATAGCAAAAACTTCTCAAAAAAAAAAAAGTTTATTTAAAACTTAAATGGAGAGCAAATTATGTTACCCTACCAAAGTAGTTTACAACTGAAATTACTAAAGAAATTTGAGCCGTTATCCCCGTTTGCATTCACTGACCTGATAATAACATAGAAGGACATGCAAGAAAAACAGTTTTAATTCTCATCTATCTTGTATCTCTTAGAATAAAAATCTATTGTATTTTTATTATTATACAAAGGGAGAAAATCAAAGTAAAAGAGAACTAATTCAAACGGAGCAAGTTTGGAGGGCCCTGCTTTATCCTGTGTGTTTTCTGACGGACCCTGTGTTTGCAGCAGTGCAGTGTGCATGTGCGTGGACCTGCCGAAGATGGCCATGCCAACACACACATTCACACATGTCTCCCTCGGGTCCCTCCCGTTTTAGGGTAGAACCGATACTCCTCCAGCAGGGCGGGCCTGAGTCCCTGCTGCTGCCTCTAGGCAGGGACTTGGGGACTTCTTCAGTCAACAGAGCACCATGGAAGTGATGCCGGGTGCCATGTGCAAGGTCAGGTCACGAGCGGACACAGCTTCAGGGGCAGCGAAGGTGCAGTGGTGGCACGTCACTACACGTGGACAGTCTGGAACATTCCAGGTGCACACGGTGCCCAAGGTCTGGGTTGGCTGAGGCTAAGGGTACCCCACATGCAGGCCCTGCTGGGGCTGTCACTGCTGTCCCCCAGTCTTCAGGTCAGTCACGTTGGAACCTCTGGACTTGCCTCAGGCTGCACTTCAGGGCAGCACATTTGTGGTTGTTTGCCCAGAAGCCCTTAGGGGCTATGTGCCGGGTAGACGTAGGGAGGTACCCCAGGAACATGGCAGGGGTGCCCAGAGCAGTCTGGTCCCTTACTCCAACTCTCCCTCACTACCAAGAACGTCTCTTAGTTTCATGTTTGGGGGGAGGTTTGAACAAGATGCACTTCCTTCATAGTACGTGTAACTGCTAACCTTCTGCCACTTTCTGCCTTGAATGACAGTTTAGCAGAGGAGGTGCGATGACCAGCAGTGGGAAAGAGAGAAGGAACTGTCTCTGTTCGTTA